TCTTGTTTAGGGTACTGTGTTTATGTAGCTCATTTAAAAATGTAATGTATAATTAAAAATACAGATTAATATCATCTATAATAGTCAAACTTATAGTTGTGTTAGGTATGTTTTCAAGGTCATGCATCTGACAAAGATTCTCTCCCTTTATGTGGACTTTATCTTCACTGATTAATTGCCTTTTTAGCTGTGCAGAAGTATTTCAGTATTATGAAGTCACATTTACCAGTTGTCATTAATTCTTGAACAAATGGAGTCTTATTCAGAAACTCCTTATCCAATCTGATACTATGTAGAGTATAGCGATGTTTTCTTCCAGCAATTTCAGTTTTTCAGGTCACATTTAGGCCTTGATATACTTGAAGTTGGTTTTTTGTGCAAGGTTATAGATATAAACCCAATTTCATTCTTTTTCATGTGAACATCAAGTTTTTCCAGCACCATTTGTTGAAGATGCTTTCTGTTCCCCAGCATATGTTTATTGAATCTTGGCCAAATATTAAATAACTGAAATTATTTGTATTTATGTCTGAATGTTTGATTTTTTTCCATTGGTCTACATGTCTGTTTTTGTACCAGTGCCATAATGTTTTTATTACTATGACTCTGTAATATATCTGAAAATATGGGATGGCAATCCCCTGGCATTGTTCCTTTTGCTCCGGCTTGTTTTTCCTATCTGGTATCCCTTATAGTTCCATATTAATTTTAGAATAACATTTTTTATTTGAAGAATGAGGTGGGTATTTTAACAGGGATTGCATTGATCTTTGTATCTTGCCAAGTCTGCATGGTGAGTTCCAGGATAGCCAGGGCTACAAGGAAACCCTATCTCAAAACAAGCTAATTAAAAACTAACGGAAACAAAAACTAAATGTTCAAACCTTTCTGTGCACTACTGACTACAGCATAGAACTTCTCTTAGACTCCAAGTTACTCTAGGGCTCATGTTTTCTAATGTTGGATAGTATAAGAAACTAACTGATCACAGTATTGACAATCACCAGGAAGAAGGTACTGTAAGAGCTTTATTTAGACACATATATTGGAAGCTAAATTCAAAGATCCCTTTGCAGCCTATTCAGGGATTCTTGGAATCAGTATGTTACCAAATTGAAAAAAAAAATATTCCAGAGTGTCATTCCATGCAGAATTCAGGAGCTTTCCCCAGGGATGTTTGGCGCTAGAACATATGTATCAAGATGCTTGCAGAGGTAAGCTGAACAGCCCAAAGTGATACAAGTTGTCTAATGGTCACAGAAATGAGAGGTTCTTAATCTTTAGCCGGTAAGGAGCAGTATTCAGGTAGAAACCACAGTGATCACATCATTATAAATGACAGCAGAAGGATCACAGTCACCTAGAACCTTCAAAACCTATACTTCAGCAGAATGGAAACCTTGAGCTGAACATGAAATGCTAATAAAGATTTTAAAAGCTGTGGTATTTAGAAGTGGATTGAAATATGTTTATTGTTTACTATAAATCACCAATGGAATTTGTTGAAGATAAAATAGTGTTCAATCTTGTGAAAGCAAGTTATACCATTTCCATAGAAAATTTCCATTAATTTTAGAAATCAATAAATGTTATATTTAAAGAAGATTGTATGAGTTTTTTTATTTATGATTCATGCATTACACATGTAACAAAGAGTGTTACAAAAAAAATTCTGCTCAACTCCAAGTGTTATTATTGTTGGGGGGTGCTCTGGGTATAACAGTAATTCCAGGAACCTTACTTCAGGTTTAAAGGTCTTATAAAGAAGCAAGAAGACTAAGAAAGGAAATGCTGAAACTAATCAATCAACAAACATATAACAAAAGGGGAATGCTATCAGATTCTTAGGTATGTAGAAAATATTCACAGGGAGTTTCTTTGTGAGATATACCTTACTGTCACTAGTCCAGTAAAAACTAGACCTTTCTTCTCAGAACCGTTTTTTCCTACTTCAGCTGCAAGAATCCTAGGACAATTAAATAATAAGTAGACATACATAAACGCACATACAAACTATAAATTCACACAGATATATATTCAAAAGTGTGTACACATATATTTTAAATATAGAATCACACTGTTTTGAATTTACAAAATATTAAAATTCATTTTTTTCTCAGAATGCTTGAAACAGAAGCTATTCTGATTAAGTGAAAGCTATATTTGGCATAACTGAGATTCATACATGTTATGTGTGATATATCCAGTTAAAAGACTGTGAATTTGACAAACAAAATTTACTCATATCCCAAATAACCTTTATTGGGTAGTTAACAACATCCTGACTATATTCTGCAATGTTTTTCATTAAATGTAAGGTATTTGAATAATATTTGAAGCATGTCATTATTTTAAAGTTACTCAATAGTTAAAAGAAATGATATTATGAAATTTTCAGGCAAATAGATGGAACTAGAAAGAAAAACATCCTTAGTGAGGTAACCCAGACCCACAACGACAAACCTGTCAGGTATGGAAGATTGTATCTTGTAGCAGACTTCCTAGTCCCTTGGCAATTACAGTATTTCTGTTCTCCATTCTACCATTTACTCTGAGCCTTGAGTGTAAGTGTTGTATTATAGAAGTAACAATAGGGGTGTACCCCACAGTCAGTTCTCTCTATTTTAATCAGTTGTAGATGTCTGTGATGGTCTTTATTTGCCACAAAAAGAACCTTCATTGATGAGAGCTGAAAACTACATTTTTATGTGAATATAAGAATAGGTGTTTAGGATGCAGTTGGGAAATAGACTGGTCTATGAAGGTGGCAGCAGTCAATTTTCCTCCAATGTCCATGACCTCATCAGCTATAGGTAGTTGTTTAGGTTAACAGTACCAGGCATGAATTCTCAAAACAGAGCAAGGTTTATGCCCAATTAGGTACCTGTTAGTTATCTCTGAAATTAAAGTCCCACTATTTCAACCTTGAGGATATCTTGCTGTGTCGGTCATTGTTGTGGTTCATAGCCTTCATGTTTCAGCGAGACTTTATATTTCTTTCTTCCATGGCTACTTACATAATGCCAGCAGATACTAAGTTCTAGGCCTTGGAGAAGAGGTCTCTAGCTCAGTTCTAGTTTAAGTTCTCTAAGTCCAATGTCTGAAGTATGTGTTGTCATCAGCAATAGAGTTGGTTTTAGCTTCAAGTTCTAGAAGACACCAAGGGCAACAGCAAAGCTGATACTCTTTGGGAAGTCTCTTGGACTTTCCTGACGACTGACTTGAAGAGAGACGTTTCCTATGTGTGGCACTGAGGTTTTAGTTAGATAGTTTGTGTCTTTGTGAGGAAAAATGTCACCCTAATAGGTATAGTTTCATCTATAGTTAGAAACACGTATAGAGCTAAACTTACATATATTATATCTAATTTTAAATAAACATAGAATAACATACTTCCTTATGGCTTTTTCAAATATCTTCAGTGCTTTTTTCCTTCTGCTTCTCTTTCTTTCAGTATTACTCTCCTTCATCCTCCACAAATGAAGTCCCCTTCCCCATTTCTCCCATCTCTCCCTTCATAGCACCCATGTCCTTCTATCTCCATCTCTAGGGGTCTTTCCTCACTTACAACAGTCCCTTTATACTTGCCTAGTCACTCCAGGGTATGTGCTCATATTTAAAAATTTGGAGCTAGGTGCTTAAATGAAAGAGATGCTTGTCTTTCGGGGTCTTGGCTAACCCATTCAATGTGATCTTTTCGAGTTCTATCCATTTTCCTGCACAGTCCATGATTTCTTTTTTTCTTTAACACCCCGTAGTATTCCCCACACCCATTCCAGCATATGTTGATTATTCTTGTTGGTTATTTTGTTGATCTTTGACTTTCTGACTGCGGTACAAAGAAATCCCAAAGCTGTTTTGATTTGCATCCTAATTTGCTTAGGATGATGAATATTTTTTGAGATATCTATTAGTGATTTTTTTTCCTTCTTTTGGGAACTCTCCATTTAGTTCTTGGGTCTCCTTGTTGAATGGGGTTTTTGTTTGTTTGTTTTTTTCTCTTTTTTATTTCTTTGTATATTCTGGATAATAATCCTCTGCTACATGTATAGGTGACAAATAGTCTTCCCCACTCTGTGGGCTTCTTTTTTATGAAGCTGACCATTTTCTTTGTTGTACAGAAACATTTCAGTTTAGGAAGTCCCATTTGTAAATTATTGGCCTTAATTCCTGAGTAAATGGAGTTCTCTTTGGAAAATCCTATTCTTTTTTTAAATTTTATTTTATAATTTAATTTAATTTTACATATCAGTCACAGATTCCCCTGTCCTCCCTCCTCCCGCCCCCCTTCCCCCCAACCCATCCCCTATTCCCATCTCCTCCAGGGAAAGAACTCCCCTTGGGATGTTGAGACCATGACTGGAAAAAGCACAGGGACAAACAGCCAAACTAGTGGAAACACATGAACTATAAACCAATAGCTGAGGAGCCCCCAACTGGATCAGGCCCTCTGGATAAGTGAGACAGTCGATTAGCTTGAACTGTTTGCGAGGGCCCCAGGCAGTGGGACCAGGACCTGTCCTTAGTGCATGAGCTGGCTTTTTGGAGCCTGGGGCTTATACAGGACATTTTGTTCAGCCTGGGTGAAGGGAGGAGGGGACCAGACCTGCCTCAACTGAATCTACCAGGAAAATCCTATTCTTACAATTAAATTTTGTAATCTACTTCCTATGTTTTATTCCACCAATTTCAACATTTTGTATTTTAAATTAAGGTCTCAGGTCCAAGTTATACAATACAAAAAATACTACAAAGTTAAAAATGTTTTATTGTTTAAGGTTTTCTTTTTTCTTTCTCTTTTTCTTTTCTTTTCTTTTTCTTTTTTCTCTTTTTTTTTCACATAGGGTCTCACTCTAAAGCCCTGGCTTTTTTTTAAATACTAATTAAATATTTCTAAAATGTGATACTTCAGACATTTTGCCTTTCCACTGTGAATGGACCAAAGCTTAATCCAGGATCCAGTACTGTAAAATACTATTTATATTTGCTTTTTATCTCTGTTATAAAGACCATGACCAAAAACCCTGAGGGAGGAGATAGTTTATTTCATACTATAGCTTACAGTCTGTCATAGAGGGAAACAGGGCAGCATCCCAAGAAAGGACCCTAGAGTCAGAAATGGATTCAAACACCATGGAGGAATACTGCTGACTAGACTGCCAACTGTGGTGTGTTTCATTTGCTTTCATATGGAAAGGACTCAGGACCACCTCTCTAGGAGGCAGTACTATTCATAGATAGCTGGTCCCTCCTACATCAGTTATTAACCAAGAAAATGTTCCACAGACTTACCCACAGGTAATATGATGGAGGCAATTCTTCAATTAAGGCCCCCTCTACCCAGATGGCTTTAACATATCCTGGGTTGCCAAAAAGCTAACCAACACACATGCCAATCAAAGGATGGCATTGTGAAACAGGATTTGAATCCAGGCAAGTTGGCAGTTATAAATGCTGGGCAACAATCTCCCTGCAGCCAATTGGTTTGCCAATGACTAGAAATGTGTGTGCAGTAATTGTATTAGTCAGTGCAAGGGAATACCTGAGTGAACAACTTAAAGGGAAAATGATTTGTTTCAGTTTACAGTTTCAGATCTTTTTGTCAATGATGGTGGGAAGGATGTGGCAGTGCAGAAGACCTCACCCTTGGCAGAGAGGAAGCAATGAGAAAGCAACAATGTCTCCTTGTCAAATTATTTTACTAATTCCTTCAGATCAGTTGTTCTCAACCTTCCTAATGCTGCAACCCTTTAATATAATCCCTTATGTTGTGGTGACCCTCAACCATAAAATTATTTTCATTGCTACTTCGTTACTATAATTTTGCTTGTTATGAATCATAATGTAAATATCTGTGTTTTCTGATGATCTTGGCAGCCCCTCCAAAGGGGTTGCAAGTCACAGGTTGAGAACTGCTGCTCTAGACTGTGAAATGGTACCACCCACAGTCAGGATGGAGTTTTCTTCCTCAGTTACAGACAGAAATGTGCTTTGAGAATCTGCTAGGCCTTTCTCAAACCAAACAAGCTGACAATATGATTAACCATCAGAAGTCCACCTTAACCCCCAAGCACCTGGTCCACAGAAGGCTCATGTCTATCTCACAACACAAAATGCATCATTCCAGCTTCAAGAATCCCCATATTCTTAACAATGCCAACATTTTTCCAAAGTTCAAGTTTGAGGTCTTTTCTGAAATTCAAGGCAGACTTTAGCAGTGAGGTCCTGTTCAAAAAGAGGGAAGGAGAATCACGTTCTTCTAATATATGGTGCTACACAGTTAGCATTCTCATCCTAAAAATGAAGAATGAGGCATAGAAGGAGCTATGACCAAAACAAAACAAAAAAAACAACAACTAAAACATACACACACATAAATCTGTACCTTTAAGTCTAGCATCAAGGCACATGTTGGTGAGATATGAGCCCCAAAGGTCTGGGGGAGCCCTGTCCTTATGGTTTTGCCATTTGTAGCCCACATGCTCTTCTCCTAAACTGACTCTTCTCAATGCCTGTGTCTTTCTTCAGAGGAGCATCTAGATTCCTGGCATTTCCATCTTCTTGAGGTCTTTATCGCACCACCAATTTCTGCTTCATGGTTTCACATATCTCCTTCACCAGGATGCTTACAAGGGTTAGCCTCTGTGTTGTGTTGCTGGGCCTCTAATCCTTTCTTTGGAATTGAGCTGAAAGCCTATGGACCTCATTACTCATGCATTTTTCAGACCTGAAAAAGCATTATTACACGGATATCTTCAGACCAAGCAGTGGGAAGGCCCTTGAACCCGAGCTGCAGAAACTTCTCAATGCCTGGGTGAATGGATGTGGACAAACACTTGCCTAAATGGCACTGTGAGAGCGATGATACCCCGAGTTTCCTTCTCAAAGCAGAGTTTCCCACATGATCCTTACCTTTTTGTTTTTATCATAGGACAGGTCTGGCCAATTCCCAAGACACCATTAAGACATCACTTTGACTGCCACATTGCAAAGCACTTGGCTTCTTCTTACTTGCTCACATCATCTTAGCAATTGCACTTTCTTCATTCCCAACCCCCACACATATTTCTTTTCCTGGAAAACAGTAAAGTTTTCAAACTTTTCTTCTCTGCTTTTTGCTTGCCTCTCACCTAAGTCTCATTATAAACTTGGCAAAAAGGAGACAGCAAATTCATGTCATGAGGTGGAGTACCTTGGAATTTCCTTAGTCGGATTAATTAGTCCCTCTCTTTTAAACCAAACCTTCTACAAATTCTCAGAGCACCGTCAAAATGCGGAGAGATGGTTTTGATAAAATGTAGTATTAATGTTCCCACCAGAGTCATTTAGCGTTCATTTTTGGCTTTACTAACCCACACCTCCAAACATTCCTCACAACAGTTTTGAAAGCTTCCAAACTACCTGGGTTGGTAGTCATGATGGCTCTCTTTCAGATAATGGTTGCCTATGTTATTTAGCTATTTGTTGCTGTAACTAAGTAGCTGAGGAACCAACTTGAAGGAAAAAAACAAAGGGCATGATCCCAGACAGCAGGGAGGTCAAGGCAGAGCAGAGCCGCTCACATGGCAACCACTAGGGGAGAGATGAGAACATGGTTACTGACTTCCTCTTAGCTTCCTTTCTTATTTCATCTGGGGCCAAGCCTACCACACTCAAGACTAGGTCCTCTTTAGTTAATCCTCCCTGGATATAAAAATCTCAGACACATCCAGGGGAGCACTTAGTAATCTCCTACTCCTTCAAATCTGATTAAGTTGATAATCAAAATTATCCTCACAGATTGGTAAAATATCCTTCACATTGTTGATTAAACTTAAAATTGTGAACTTCCCTCTGCCTTGCAAAATCCTTGTTCATTTCATTCACAGTCTTGTGATAATAAACCATAATTTAATGCAGATCAATGAGAACAATTAATTATATAACCATGATAATTCCCTCCCAAGTAAAATGAAGTTCTTATATAGTATAATAATATGATGAAGAGATCCATTTTATGTTATTTATTCAAATTTAAAAAAATTTTAAAGGATATATATTTTTATCACTTGAGTAGTCACTTTAAGTGATTTGATATTAAGTAATAAAAAACTGGAGTTATAATTATTACATTAATTGACTGAGTAGGCAAGTTATTATAATTGCAAAGATTTTTAAAAACAGTTTATTCTTTTAATTAGAAAACTATTTCTATAAAATAATTAGTTATATTGTGTTATCTTACAAACAAGATAATTTACACATAGGTATTGCAAGGTTTTTTTTAACATAAAACACTGTAAGTACCATATATGATTTAAATTTATCATTTTATTTTAGTTACCTTTACATAAATATGTATATAATGCAGACTGAGAGGCATTTACAATTCTTAAGCTGTTAAAAGAATGAGACTCAATCAAATATAGTATAATGATGCCCTTGGATAATTATAATGAAGTAATAACTGACCTTCACTGTGTATTAAACTGTGACATCTTGAATTCAGTTGCCAATATAAACTACAATTACCAAATCACTTGGTGGTTTAGAAAATCAAACCATATTCTCTCCAGCTATTCTTCTGGCTTGGCATTACCTTCTAAATTTCAAGCTTACTCAGGTCTGCCGTGGTGCAGCAACTGCCTACATTTATTGACAAGCAAATATTTTCTGATCTGTTGCCACAAAGAAAGGATCACCCAAACTGAGAGGCCAGATTAAAAATTGAAATCCTGTCAAATGTCCAATTCTCAGCATGACTTATTATTTCGTATTGTCATTTTCTGCACCCACAGCGTTAAGTCTTGTTAATTTTAGCACATTTAAAAGAATCCTAAATCATGGGTTTAAAACTAATGGGGCTGAACAGACATTTATTTATCCTGCAAAGTGGGCCAATAAACAATTTTGTGTTTTCAAATGCCAATTTTGAAGTTTGAAAGTCAAAGAATGTATTGCTAATTTTAAGTAAAATCACTTATTTTAAGTAGACATAAAAACAAATATACACATGCTGAAAAAACATTCCTACAGGATCCATCTAATTCCCATATTACTGAAGAAAAAGAACAGAAAAGAGTTAACTCTAGATCCTTAGTTAACACTTCAAAGTCTGGTTTATATGGAGGATGAGAATAAAAGCATTCAGTTTTCTATTTGGCCTGTTTTCCTCAGGTCTGAGACAAAACTCTGCATATAAAATCATTAGTTGCAAATGGTAGTTGAAGGCTGTCTGTGACTCACCAGGCACAGTGGCCTCATCTATATGTTTACTCTTAAATTTCTTATTTTCAGTATTCATTTCAGTCACTAGGCCACCGAGGTTAAAATTAAACCAGTTAACATTCCTTCTCTGAAATGGAGTTCTCAGACAGTTGAGAATTTACCAAGTCAGGCACATTTCAGTCTATGTAAGGAAAGCTTTAATTTACAATCACTGTGAAACCCCATGATACACAAAAATAGTTCATTGTCAAAAGTACCAAATGATTGGGAAAAGATGTGAATGTGATGATATTTCTAATTTTAGTCAATCCCTTTCCGATCGTCCTGTAGCACCTTTCTTCCAAGGAGACCCGGGCGCTTTATATTTAGAAAGAAAAAATTGCAAACCAGAGTGAAAATCCTCACAGATTTATATTGATGAGAATAGATGTCCTAGAAGATGAACTAAAGAGCATAAGGTTAAAGAGAAGCAGGAACAGTAGGAGTCCATCAGTGAAGGAGGACCTGACAAGCTTTGCATCTTAGCTGTTCACTTGCTGTCCTACATTTCCCCAAATTAATCTTAAGGAGAGCCCATAGGAGCTGCCCAAGACATATCTCATGCTTGATTATTCAAGATGTCTTCATTTAGCCCTACAACTTGACCATTTCTATCATTCCACACTATCAGTAGTGTTTGGTGCAGACTTTCCCTAGAGGAATTATAAATTTCCGGGCTTCTCTGAAGAGTTCCTTTTGCACATGTAGTTTAGTGTCTAACATCAATGGGAGGATGGAGAGCTCCATAAATACTTTGATACTATTACAGACATCTTCAAAATGTTTTGTGTCACCAAAAGATACCAATGGGCAAATGTTTAATAATTTTGAAATAAACAAATTTTATTGTTTTTTACCCAATGTTAAAATGTATGGGAATATGAAATCTGTATTAAAATACCTTTATTACCTCTGGTAAGTTATTTAACACCAGCTTGTGGTTCGTCCCCTGTTCAATATTTCCTTTTACATAAATCTTTGTGAAGATTGTAATGTGGCATTTAGAAATAACTCAATCAATTTATCTGCATGATACAGAGCAAACATTTTTTCATTAAATTTAACACCACTGAAAGAAATTTCTGTTTTTACAATGTGTTGAAAAGAATGCTTACTCTGGTTTCAGATTATCATCTCAACCATGCGAGCCATGGCTGTACCATAGGACTTCCTGTAAAATGTTTGAACACAGATGAGCGTTTGTAGGCATATTTTGACACAGTAAGAGGAGGTAACTGATTTTGCTAGAAATGTCATGACTACTGCAACGTTGATTTGTCTAACACTGGTTTACAAAGTTTAATGAGGAAATAAAGATACCTAGAATACATGAGACAGTGAGGATGATCCTAGGTACTAAGAGAGAGGGACAATTACAGGAAGAAAGAGTGAGAAGGAGAAAGGAAACTTGGAATAGTGAAGTGTTTATCTGTCTTCTCTTCATCAATTTGCACAGGCGCACAGAAGGAATATAGTGTTTTGTGTGAATATTAAAGTTATCTAAACCTGTATTGTACTTTGCAAATTATCTCCCTATTATAAACAAATGTTTAGAGGAAGCTGTATGAATTAAATATTAAGAATCATATCAGTTTGATATTATAAAACTCTTAGGAAGCTCCCTTTGTGGACTGTGTCATTTTCCAAGAGGCAATGGTGAATTCCTTAGTTATAATATCTGCCCCCCTCTCCGACCTTAATAACTAAATGGGAGGTGTTGTAATGTGGAGTTTCATCCCACACTCATCTATATCAAGCCAGCCAAAAGGCTGATTTGAGGCAATAGAGCCTTCAGTTCCCAGAATGAACAGGGCATCTTGTTTTAATTCCCAGTAAGCAAAGAAGATCTCATCTTGTGGCTTCACTGTAAGTAATAAAGGAATATATGAAGCTTTCTCATATCCATGTCTTTTTTTTAAAGATTTATTTATTTATTATTTAGACAGGAGAGGGTGCCAGATCTCATTACAGATGGTTGTGAGCCACCATGTGGGTGCTGGGAATTGAACTCAGGACCTCTGGAAGAGCAGTCAGTGCTCTTAACCTCTGAGCCATCTCTCCAGCCCCACTCATATCCATGTCTTAATAATGCTAAAATCAAGGATAGAATTGAGGTGTTTTACAGAGTCTATTCCTTTCAAGGTTTTTAATTTGTTGAAACAGGTATGTGACACTATGAATATCCAGATGTGCAGTCATCTTTAAGAAGTCTTTAATGGGTGTTATTTTTAAATAACACTTTCTGTTAGAAAATTAAATATTGTTACCAATTAAATCTGATCAAGTATGAATCAGCATATTCTTCAGCCTGTAAGAGGACTGGAAGATAAGAAGCTTATGAAGAGTCTTGATATTTGGATCACCAAACCCTATGACATAGATAGATATAGCCCTTTTTCAAAAACTTAAGTAGCTAGTTTTATTTTTATTTTTTGCTTTTCCAAGATTCTAGTTAGTATTTGAAATAAATAATCTGATCCTATAGTCATTGTTAAAATATCCATTCACGCCTTACTAACTGACATGTAAAAAAAAATGTGTGTATTGATGGTACAAGGTGACAATATAATACATGTGTACAATTTGTGACAATCAAATCAGGGTGCTCAGCTTCTCTATCTCAATCTTTTATTAACTCTCTGGCCCAGATGGGAGCTCTCTGGGCTCTCCTATACCTTTACCTTACAAACTCTTCCCTTCTTGTTCTCTGTGAATCTTTTTATGTCTTCTCAATCTGCTTTAGTTTCCTTGAGAAAATGCTCTATAGTATAAAATATTTCAAAGATAAATAATCATTGTAGAGGCTACAGGGATGGCTTAGTAGTAAA